AAGAGGAATTTAAAATATCTAACAAATTTGTTGTTTTTTAACTGCAAACTTTAAAAAAAAAAGGAATTCTCAGAAAAAAATATAACTATATGTATACAAATGTGCACAGCTAATTTTTCACAATGGGCACCAAAGTGAGTGAAAATGTGAATCTGGATACCTGTAAATGAGTTTACCTGTATGTATAAATATGCAAGTGAATTTACCTGTGAGCAACCTAGTCACTCTATAAGCACCTTCGTTAACCACACAGTGCATTTATCAGAGAGTAAATGAATATGAATGTAAGTTCCTCTGCTTGTGAGATTACCTGTAAGTGAGTTACCTGCAGCAAGTTTACCTGTGAGTGAAATACCTGTAGCAAGTTTACCTGTGAGTGAGTTACCTGTAGTAAGTTTACCTGTGAGTGAGTTACCTTCAGCAAGTTTGCCTGTGAGTGAGTTACCTGCAACAAATTTGCCTGTGAGTGAGTTTCCTGCAACAAGTTAACCTGTGAGTGAATTACCTGCAACAAGTTAGTTTGCCTGTGAGTGAATTACCTGCAACAAGTTTACCTGTGAGAGAGTTACCTGCAGCAAGTTTACCTGTGAGAGAGTTACCTGCAGCAAGTTTACCTGTGAGAGAGTTACCTGCAGCAAGTTTACCTATGAGTGAGTTACCTGCAACAAGTTTGCCTGTGAGTGAGTTACCTGCAGTATGTTTACCTGTGAGTTTTCTTGTTATTTAAAACAAGGGTAAGAAACCATGTGTGAGTTTCTGTGTGAGTTTACTTGTGAGTGAATTTACCTGGTGGTGAGTTGATCTGTGAGTGAGTTACAAGTGAGTTTACTAATATACACACCCTTACAAGCTAGATTTTCTTAAGTAAATGTTGAAGAATTAGGCCAATGAAACTACAACATTCATCATAGACACTTTTTAAATTGCATATATTTTCATTGAAATTGGCATCAAAGTCAATACTGATGCCACAAGAAACTTTAGAATATAAATAAATCTATATTACTAATTACATGTAATATGTTTCTCTAGATATCTTAATTAATTTAGAAAAAAGAAACAAAACTTTTAAATCAATTTGAAAATAAAGTAAATTCTTACTCAGGTATTCATTTACTAAAAAGTGGAATTTTAAAAATTGTTCTGTTTCTACAATAGATAATGAATTGAGGGAATAATTGGATAGTAAAAAATTTCTTTTTCACCTATTCATAAAATATTTGCTTTTAAAATTGATGAAATATTTTTCTGACTTGACAACATTTCAGTTTTGCGGTTTTCTGCATTTTTAGATAGTGACAGCATCTATTCATAAAGTTTCATGGATATTTTTCAAGACTTTCTTTCACTTAAATGGTCTATGATGTTTGGGAAAATCTTGATTGCTGTTTTTGAGTATCTGACATATAATTAAGGGGTCTTGTAATACAAGGTCTGGATAAATAGGTAAATAAAAGAAAAAAACTGATTTGGATGGATGTGAAAATTTTCGCTTTGCATCTTTCTCGTAGAAGAAACACGCACACACTGGGTCTGTCAATGCAAAAATCCACTAGACGTACATATATCATTAACAATCAATCTATAACTGTTTGTTTACTGTAAACAATTTTGTTCACAATGTAAACACGTATAATACACAGGGTAAAACTATACACTGTAACAAAGATGTCCTTTTTTAATTTCCTGGAGTACAACGCGGGTAAACAATTGGTAGGAATGTGTTCGAGTAATATCGAGTCAACCAAAACGATATTAGGTTTACATACACGGAAAAAAAAATATGTATAAAAAATGTTGACACACAGCAAATCATTTGAGGAAAATTCATAGTCAAGCAGTAACTGTATAATACAGAAATAAAATCACAATTATGTAGGCAAACCCATACACAGTCAATTTTAACCCAAACAAACAAATAAAAAAAAAAATATGGCAAAAATAACTTTTCAATATTCATGATGCCAAATTATACATATGAATATTCATTATGCCTAATTTAAATATGCAAACCATGCAAAAGTATGCATATATCTAGGTAATTATAATGCTTTTATGGAACATGAGATTTCTCCTTAAGAAACCAAACCGGAGAAAAACTAAATTGTAAAAATGTGAGTTAAGTTAAAAAACAGGACTTTGTTATCATTGAATGAAATGCATGTTTTTTTTTCTAAATGAAACATTTTCAAATATTATTTGTGTTCATGAAAACAGTAAATCATTTGTTCAACATTATACTAGGCACAATAAAGACCAAATGAAAAGGTCAAAGTTCAAAAGAATTATATGCCCTATGTTGTAATTGCTACATCATTGTTAATAATTTTTTCTACGACACTTTCAACACTTTAAAAGATTGGGGTTTTTTTTTCCCATTTTTAGTATTATCATTAAACTTCCCTGTCACTATAATTTACGAAATTCATGAAAAAACATTCTTCAAAACAAATTTTATATTAAAATATCCTTTTTACTCATCAAAAGTCTTTAAGTTAAGGAAGCATTGATTTTATTTCCCTTTCTTCATGTTACTAACAACGTAAATTATTTTACTCAAAATTCAAGTTCAATGTAGTCTGATTCACTCTACAGTTGAAGCAGTCATACTTTTGTCAAATTAGTGTCACTGAATATTTTGAGATTTTGCCATTAAAATTTTCCCGAATGAAAAATTTCCAAGGTTGGCAAATATGAAAAACACATCAAAATCTATTTGTGATATTTTGATAAATAAAACAAAAACAAAATTCAACAACGTTATCTTTCAACTCACAGATAAGGTTTAGTTCAAAATTCAACAATGCCTCTTTTAAAAGTGATTCAAATGCTTACACAACTTATATGCTGATAAAATGGTGAAATTTAAATATCAAGTCAACTTCAGCGACGGAAATTCAGCGAAATCGTTAGGAGTTACAAAACATTGAAGTGTCACACTATAAATAGCATGATATAAAAATAGACTTATACTGGTTAATATACCTCCGCGGGCTCCATAATCCAGCGGTATCATATTCAATGTTACAATGGAAAAATCAACTGGATCATTTACTCATTAAAAATTTCCTACCGATAATACAAAAAAGGGGGAGACAATCCAATCTGACTTATCAATAAAAAACTTTCTGAAGATGCTGAAACTTTGTTTGACTCATAAAAATTCTAAGAACAAAATTAAAATTGAAGAAGAAAAGAAATTAAATTTATTTAAATCTGATTCCGCTAATTGGTGGGTTTGATGTAGACCATTATTTATAGAAAGAATATAGGAAAAATTAAAAATCAATGTCAGATACCGCAGAGAAAATATATTTAAGCAAATTCTGAAAACTCCCCAATCAGATAACATTTTCTCCCAACATTTTTGCATGATTACTTAACAATTAATCAAAGGAATAATATCACAGTCTTAGAAAAAAAACGATCACATTAAATTCTTTGAGAACTATTTGTTGTGGCGGATGTTTATATTATTTACAATTATATACATTAAGAGGCACGTATCGTGTGTATAATAATATGAACGCATTATATATGTACACGTAATCACCACACACTTTCAGTTTATCAAAGTCTACACCCATAATTAACACTGTATTTCATAATATTTACAAATTAGCTGGACACTGATCAGGATTAAGGTGCACAACGCAGTGATAATACACATACCTGTACTGTTTCAAGTCAAAATGCCACTTTATCACTGCACATAAAGTTGTAAATTAAACAAACGTGTCCGTGATCCTGATCAAGGTTATCTCCAATGAGATTTAAGTCACTAACTTGTGGGTTAACCAGTTACAATATAGCTGTAATATACAACTAATGAATAGTTTTTGGCAAACAAGTTTCTCCCCTTCTTTTCTTTGGTTGGCTGTCAAATGCAATACAATAATTATCAATACAAAACTCTATGATAGGAAACACCAGAGCATAATAGAAAGATTTTTGTTGAGAATAGACAAGCTTCACTCCTCTACCTTAAAAAAGGCATCATAACAGATAAATATTAACATCGATCACATCTACATGATTTCAGGAACTTTATACATGATGTCAAATATAGTGGATATCTTTTTGCAGAACAGAGTTCTTAATATCCACAAGTCTTCAAAATATTACCAAGGGAATGTTTCGAAATTGAATCACCAGTCTTTATGTTAATTTTAATGATGCAAGATAATGGCTAATTCTCCCCTTCTTTATATGAATTTTGCCTCTATTCATATGAGAACTATATTTTTATACTATCTACAATCTAAAATATATCTGAATCGCATGACTTGACTTACTTTTGTCCCTTTCTCATTTTTAACTAAGAATCATGTATACCGGTAGTTAATTTTTTATAACTAAAACGAAGCTATCATAAGAATTTTGTTGCATTTTTTTTTTTTTAACATCTTTGTCTACAATTCCCAAATCATGATCACTATGACGTTTGAACTATATATATATCCTGCATTTTTTCTATATTCCTGATTCTCTTGTGCACTCCAGATACAAAAAAAAAAAAAAAAACAACAGTTGGCAAAATGTCAACATCTGCTCTGCACCGATGTATTTTGCACAGCCATATGAAAGGTAGTTATGTAATATGAATCATTTTGAATACGGTGACTCTCTAGATTTGTTGTTCTAGGCCATGTATTCACATCAAGGCAACAAGAGTTCCCATGATCTCTTACGAATCTGGATCATTAAGATGTTTCATTTCTTTATCTTCAAGAAAAAAACAGGAACCACCATGGGCCACACTAAAACGTATCACAGCAAACTTTCTCATTAGCGGCTCCTGTTGATTGTTTAAAAGCAGAAAATTAACTGTTCCATTTCTTGAATCTGCTTTCACACTAGTTAATTCACACCACATACAGATTTTCTTCCTTCATATATTTTCCCAGATGAATTTCCCTATCTCTCAACAGAAGGGTAGAACCAGTAATTGGCGCTGCTGAATCAATGACACAAGGAATATTAGTTTTGTAACTTTCTTGTTACAGTTGACTTGTTCCTCCTGATTGCGTTCCTTGTTTCTTCCGACGAGGCGGAGAAATTCTCCTAAGTTGATTAAACTCGGATCGCCGAAAGTCCATAGAAGGTTCAACTCCATTACCTAAACTACCTCCGCCTAAATTTCTTTGATCTCCATGATCGCGCCTTGACTGGTGCTCCGCTCGTCGCAAGACCACTTTTTCAGCAATCAAGCTGGGAAGCTGATCAAGCGTACCCTGAAATAACGATGAATTTGTTATGCAACTAATTATATATCTAATTAAGAAAAAGATTTCAGAAGACTTTGAATAAAAATCATGAAATTTAGAGAAACAAATGAGATTCCTCCTGTATTCCTGAAATAGAAACTTGTTATACCTGAGCAATATATCATAACACATCTTACCTACAGCCCTGAAAGTATTTCATAATTGTCAATATATGGGAACTCGTACCAAAAAAAGTTTTTGAAAAATTATTCTTAATTAAGGTACAAAAATTATTACAACTTTTAATGCGAGACTGGAACAATTTCTGACCAAAGTTCCAATCTTGTACTAAAACATTACAAAAACGCTATAACTTTTTGTAGTTACTAAAAAGTACAAAAAATTACACTATCAGAGGTGCATTTTAAATTTACCTGCAATCCAGCAAGCTTTTCTTCAATTTTATTGACACGTCTCTCTAGTGTTGTCTGATTGCTGTTAATTTCCATCACTGTATCGGAGATTTGTGTCTGGGTCTGGTAAAATAGAAATAAAAAAATTCAATTTTCCAAAAATTCTGATCATCTGTGGTCTTAATTATGTGAAAAACATTTGATAAAATGTAACATGGAAATACATGCAAGGGTAAAACAAGCCAAGTATGTTGTCATCACATTCCTGTAAAGCACCGCATCCATTGTTTTCAGGATAAAATCAACACGAAGATGACTATTTTCTAGGGAATATATAGTTAACTATTTGTTACAAAGAAAACTATTAAGTTTTCTACAATTCAATTAAAAAAAAATGATTATAAAAAAGAAAAGAAATAAAAAAAAAAATTGACATCTTTTTAACTGCCCTCAGTTGCATTACACTACAGAAAGTTAATATAAAATTTCAAATTGATGATATACGTAAACTAGATCATTTAACTTTATAAAAGAAAACCCAGTATTTTAATCTCTCATGCTTTTTTACTACTGAAATAACATTTAATTATCTATACCAACCCAAAATAATTAACCAACATCAACTTTTATGTAAGTAAAGGGACACATTGATTGGAATTGCACGTGCATATTAAAAAAGCAGTATCCATGAAGTAGACAGGCAAAATTGTCCATTAGAGTTTTAAATCTGTGCATTCTGCACAAACTGTACAAGATAATTATCTACACTGTTAGTCATTGTTGCGTATGGCAACAAAATTATATATCTCCCTATATTCTTATCTTGAGATAGATTGATCGATGCCAGCCTGTACAGAAAGGAATCTGAAATATCGATTCTTTATTCTAGGTAAATATTTCTTGTTTAGAGTAGATTTTTTTTTATCAGGATCTGTTTCTAATTTCAACCTAAATCCCACTAAAAAAAACCTTGTTCTTCCTTCCATCCATACATATGTGTATCGTGTACACCAAAAATCAAAACCAAAAAGTATAATTTGAAGTTTTTTCCAAGTTTTGCCTACAAATTAAAAATTTCCAGATATAAAACACAAAGCTGCCAAGGAGATCTCTCTGATTTCTAGAAAAAATCATAATAAGTAATTGTGTAGAAAATTAATCAGTAGGATATTTTAGATTATCTCACTTTGTTTCTTTTTTTGCAGCTATAATTGATGAGGAGTTAGGGAACGGTTTTAGTTTTCTTTTTATACAAGTTATCATAAATCATAGATGCTAACATCTATGTGTCTGAAATAATTTATCATATGAAATATTTGAAAAAAATTCTGATAATTTCCTATCTACAGATGTGATGGCATTATCATTTACAGCACATGTGAGGTATACACATATATACATGTAGTTATATATATGGGGATACAGACAATATATAAAGCTGTTTCTTATATCTATAGAGGAATATGCACCAGATAGGATTACCTCCCTTTTAATTGTCTCCCTTGACTTTTTATTTTCTCTTTACACTTCTCTACTTTCTACAATCTATTTGAAAATTATCATGTGTATTCCAATGTCCATGAAAGATAAATTAAATTGAACAGTATCATTTTGAAATGTAGAAACTGATTGAAAAAAAAGTTATGGCAGTATTTAAATCAAAAGAAGTGTTCCATTGCTATTTTGTAATGTCTTAATCGATCTCTACTCTAAGCAATCATTAACAAAAAGTTTCTTGATTTACATTCTAGGAGCCAATTAATATCATGATTATTTATTTTGGGATTAAAACTGAATTATGAAGTACAATTCTTAAAATTAATATTCAATTAAAGAAATAAAAAATGCCAATAATAATGTCTTAAATAAATCAAATATTACAGGGATGATTCTTAACTAGTCAAATAACACATCGTTACATTTTTGCACATCTCCTTTCAGGGGATGTCACAACCCAATTTTTGTTGAACTGATGCAAATAGTTCTGGAGTAAAAATTGCACACACAAACATAACACGCTAGAGGAGAATAAGAAAATATATAGATCACAGTTGCACTGCCAGCCAGCTACAGAGGAAAAGATGTACATGTATAGTTAAAGGGTTCTGTAAGCCATTCATCCATTGAATTCCATGCTCGCTAAACAAAATATCAAACAAAAGAAATCTACACACAACTGCTTAAAACTGAAAAAAAAGAACGCAGTACACAAAGAAAAAAACAATATGAAAATAATACGAACAAAATATTGAAATCTACTTGATATCATGCCTGAAAATATCATCACTGGCCATGCCCACAGCGGTTTGACGGTGGGAGTATATATGAAGTGTATAAATAAGGAGACAGCTAGCACACAAACAAGATGCTGATGATGAAATTGTATTTCAAACCTGTTGGTACTGAACATGGGGTATGGAGATATAGCAACTAGGCATGGAGTCCAGCCCTGCCATCCCTACGTTCTACAACGGAAAAGGAAAGGAAACATCGATGGTAAGTGTAGGGTCAACTAACAGAATAAACAGACAGGTTCCCTGCTCAGAACAACACCAGTTAGCTCCTATTTACCAAATCTCCTAATTCCGTACATGTACAGCTAATGTTTCTTGCTGACGTAGAAATTTATCTTACTGTCACCATGGTATCTGCCCAATTAAACTGCTGTGTGTTTCCCTAGAGATGGAAGCCTGTAAGGTATAAACCTACGTTTATGTCTGTTATATTTTTGCCTCGTCTACATTGCAGACAATGGAAGACCGAAGTTTTGCTAAGTTACACACACACATGTATAAATATATATATATATATGTATGTTTTTTTTTTTTTAAATCTTTCAGAAAACCAGTTATTTTTAACAATTGCAATTGGTTAAACCAATCACTTTCCAATTCCAATCAGAGAAGTATCATTTTTCAAATAACTAAATGGCATTATGAAAAAAATCTGTGAACTTTAATTTCTATTTTTTCTTTTTTGGAATGCATTTCTAAATGCAATAAATAATTTTGTGTGCTGGGAACCAGTCTTTTTTTATTTTATTTTTTTGAGAGAGAGGAAAAATTGTCATTACTATGAATGTCAAGATGGCTGCCATGCTTTACCACAAAGTATTACGGATAATATGTAGGAGAGTGTGTTTCCACTCAGAAAGAACCAGGGACACAACATGTAATGTATTTGCTGTATTCAATTAAAGGTCATACAGTAAGTGTGATAAAATACCACCATGATCAACTCATTATCTGTTTTGTTATGATCAAATTTAAATCTGAGGACATAATTGCTCAATTTGTTTTCTGTTGTTTCCTTATAAATGTTCTAGTTCAAAGCATTAGAGGTGATAGTAGTTATGTGATTGTTCAACAACAAGAAATGATAGAGGGGATCATGAATACATGGTGTTGAGAATGCAATATTTTAGTGAGAGAATTTAATGAAAACAAATAATAGTTGTATTTATATCACCATCGAGGAACCCTTTCCTTTACCGAGTAAGCTGCATATGTGTTTTAAGTACGAATTAACCAAAAACTCACAGCCTGAGAGATTGACGGATCTCGAAACAAATAGTCACTCATGCTGGAAGGGCATCAGTCTTAGGCATAGCTGTAGTTTGATTAGGACAAGGCGACAAAACTCTGGACATTAGCTTCCCTACAGTTTGTAAGTTACCATTATACCTTATTAGAGTTTTGAATTTGTTATGACAGAAGGTAAATGTGAATTCTAGGTTTGGTACGGACACAATCCATCTTTGTTCCTGTCCTTTTCATTAGTATTTTAATGTCTTCACTTTGCCTGGCTTGTTTGGGTTTTCTTTGAAAACATGTTCAATAACCTCTTTAATCTACAAAATTTCTGTTCTGTCTGCTATGCAGTCTTTTCTAATGTCAATCCTACAATGTGACTGCTGTATCCCTCCGACATCATCACTTAATGCCCTGACCAACCTTCCATCGTCATGCACTTGCCAACCCATCTTTGCCATATCCTTGACAAGCCTTCATTGTCATCCCCTTGCCAACCCTTCATTGCCATCCCCTTACCAACCCTTCATTGCCATGCCCTTGCCAACCCTTCATTGTTATCCCCTTGTCAACCCTTCATTGTCATCCCCTTGCCAACCCTTCATTGTCATCCCCTTGCCAACCCTTCATTGCCATGTCCTTGCCGACCCTTCATTGTCATCCCTGACCAACCCTTCATTGTCATCCCCTTGCCAACACTTCATTGTCATCCCCTTGCCAACCCTTCATTGTCATCCCCTTGCCAACCCTTCATTGCCATCCCATTAACAACCCTTCATTGCCATCCCCTTACCAACCCTTAATTGTGATCCCTTTGCCAACCCTTCATGATCCCCTTGCCAACCCTTCATTGTCGTCCCCTTGCCAACCCTTCATTGGCATCCCCTTGCCAACCCTTCATTGTCGTCCCCTTGCCAACCCTTCATAACCCTTCATTGTCATCCCCTTGCCAACCCTTCATTGTCATTCCCTTGCAAACCCTTCATTGTCATCCCCTTGCCAACCCTTCATTGCCATCCCCTTACCGACCCTTCATTGTCATCCCTGACCAACCCTTCATTGTCATCCAACTTGCCAACCCTTCATTGTCATCCCCTTGCCAACCCTTCATTGTCATCCAACTTGCCAACCCTTCATTGTCATCCCCTTGCCAACCCTTCATTGTCATCCCTGACCAACCCTTCATTGTCATCCCCTTGCCAACCCATCTTTGCCATATCCTTGCCAACCCTTCATTGTCAAGTCCTTACCAATGTACCATTGCCATGATTTTGCCAACCTTTCTTTTCATATTCTAGCCAACTCTTCGTATTCATAAAGTAGTTCCTTTCTAAAACCCATTTTCGTCAATTTTAGAATCGACCCTTCAATACATGTCATATCTGTTCTTTACGATTTTCAATTGCAAACCCATCCATATCCTTATGTTCACACTTCCCTTTATAACCATACAGAAAAAATAATGTCCTTATCTCATTCCAAATCTTAGAAATAAGAATTTTTATGTCCATTTATTTTTCTTATCATTTACAAACGTAAATTTTGAGTCTTCTTTTCTCAATTAAAAATTAATATTTCATTTATTGAAATGATGAGAAATGTATCCTCTTTTCAACAACAGGAATAGTTTTTGAATTTTCCAGGTTTCCCTAATGAAGCAACGATTCCACATGTTGGAGAAGAGATGCTACACAGACAAAGATGGGGGTTGATAAGATGACGTACAAGACTTGTGACAACATCAAAATTGTTCCAAAATATTTCACCACAGAGTCATTATACAATTTTGTCACATTATGTATCGTGCTTATACATATGTAAACTTATAAACAAAGAATTATCTAACAGAAAACTGTATACACATTCTAAATAAAACAATGTTTACTGATCACCACCATGGGGCCATTTCTTTGAGCCTTTGGATAATCAGTCTATTTATAAATGGATTGACGCAACAGTAAAACTTTTGTGCATGTGCTTGCATTTCGTGAAGATTGTACAAACACGTTTAAAAAAAGAACTTATGAAATTGAATCATTGACATTGAATCAGGTGTATAAATTAAACAGATTGTGATCCAACCATGCACATTGACAGAAAGATAAATTTTTTGAAAAAGTTGATTTTTGATTAAAATCTCTGACCGTAAGCTGTATTCTGTAGATCTTATACCTTTGCCATGTCTACAAGTGTATTCTGATTTTCCAGTAGTTTTCTTTGGCCCATCTTTATCTTCCTCAGCCTGAAATTGGATGAAAATGAATACTATTGACTGAAAAATAGTGAATATTTCTAACTGGAAAATAGTAAATACTTTTGACTCCAAAACAGTGAATATTAACTAAAAATAAAAGGCCTTACTGAAAAATAGTGAATATTTCTAACTCCTAAACATTGAGTATTCTTAACTCTAAAAATGGAAAATCCTTCTGACTCAAAAATAATAAATAGCTCTGACTCCACAATAGTCAATCGTTTTGACTCAAAAAAAGGTAATACCAGGTAGTTCTTACTCCAAAAATTGTGAATATTTCTTACCTCAAACATAAGGCCCAAGGGTCTTAACAGTCACCTGTGTCACAATGCTTCTTGTGACATGTCATAGAAATAATTTTGTTAAAAAATGTAATTAACTTTAACTATACTGTTCACAATATGCAAATGTAAATTGTGTATACATTAACTGCTGTCCCCTGATTAGGCTTCAAATCAAGTCTGAATTAAAAGAAATTACACCCAAACTTTGAATTCTCCTTTACAGAATCTTCCATCCAGGAAGAGAAGAACATCTTTCAAATTTCAGTCAATCTGACCCATTTTTGACCCTACCCATCAGCCCCTGGGGGTCAGTCAAGGTCAATATATGCATCTCATTAAACTATCATCTTAAACTAATAATTCTATACTGGTTTTAACTATTTCCAACAGAAAATAAACAAATAATGTTCAAAAATGAAATTTTCCAGTAAAAACTATAGTAAACCCTCTCCTCATGGGAAATGAAAAACCCTTGGGTCATGAAATTCACAATTTTGGTAAAGCATCTGAAGGCCTTTCCATCTATGAAAAGTACTTGATTGTACCATACTTTGGATTTGAGAACAAGATTTTTGAAGTTTCAATAAATTTTATCTTTTTTGGCCCTGCGCCTCAGGCCCTCCGGGGTCGGGGACCATATAATTTACAGTTTTGGTGCGCTTTTAGCCATGGTAGATTTTTGTAACATTTCATTGAAATTGATTCAGGAGTTTTCCTGAGGAAGTAAAAAATGTTAAAAAGTTTACGGCGTCTCAGGTGATTAAAAGTGTAATTATTTATGTCTCAACAATTGTTATTCTTCTTATTGCGAAAAAGTGATTACTTTTTATTCCAACAGTCAATACTTCTAACTCCAAAATCATGAATATTTAATTTTTTTCACTCAAACATGAAAAATAACATGGAGTGTTTTCAATTATCAATATTAAATTTGATTTTAGATTCGATCCAATTTCAATCTCAAAATTAATGGTTATAAAACCTTAAAACTGAAATTATCATCAAATTATATTTCATAATAATTTACTACTGAAACATTCTTTGGCTTGGTGAAAACTTCATTCCTAAAAATTTTCCTTACTTGAAATATTCCTATTAAGTCTGTATGTCATGGCAATCACTAAGGAACATTAGAAAAAGTCTATAAAAAATACTGATGCAAGAAAATTGTTCTGATCAATACTTACGAATGAATAGCTTGAAGAAATTTTCTCTGATGAGCACGCACTTTGCTGCCGTCCACTTTTTTGACAAGTTTGGTGTATTTGTAAATGAGCCAAGTCTCCCTCAGCACATTGGCTGCAGCATTTTTCATCTAAAATTTATAACAATGTAAATGATTATGCAATATTAAGGGTGTATACCAAATTATTCTGACAAAAAAATATCTTCAATAAAAACAAATTGCACACTTATTAACCCGTAAAAGTAATATGAAAAAAAAAATACTTCAAAATTGGTTAATTAATTGGCAAAATTGAGGGGTAAAAAAGACATATTGATAACCTTTAGGACATATTTCAAGGGCAGATAACACTACATGTGATTGGTAATTTACTGAAAGGATTCAGTATGCAGAAAGTTCATTCTAAAAGAAGCAAACAGTTTGAAAACATTGGTGTCTCAGTAGCTGTATAGAGAATCAAATGCCATCACATACAGCTTCCCCCCTACCCCCCTTAAGGTTATACCATTTTTGTATATGAACTTCATATCTCTTAAGAATAATCTAAAAATAACAAAGTAATGAAATCTTGGTTCATAAATAACGAAATTATTAAAAAATAAAAGTTTCATAATTGACAACAAGAGTGCATATTTTCATATATTATCTTTGTCACTATGTTGCTATTTTTAGATATGTACTTTGTGATTGCTTAAAGTTAATCTTTAGAGTTGATATATTTTTAGAGAGTTATCATCACAGTGTCATAAATTATTGGCTCTATCTATTTAAAAAAAAATTTTGCAGTTTTCACAGTAACCCATGTTTATGATTTAAGAATCACTTTAAAAGGAAAAGGAAGATTTTTGATACACTTGAAATAAAGGGCAATATATTCAAAAAATAAATTTGACACAATTTTCAAACCATCTTGTATGCCAGAATTTTGATGATTTGTTTCGGAATTCATCATTGCATTTTTTTCATTTTTTATTGAACATTTCAAAAATACAATTATTTTGAAAAAAAAAATACAAAACCCTTTATCTTTTTTCCTCCTTTATTTTAATAAAAAAAATATTGAAGAAATGATTTACCACTACTTATATAGCAATTAATCCATGTCCAGTAATAAGCCCATCCTAACATTAACAGTATGTAGTCAATGTACTTTTGTTAAAGCCTACTCCTTGTACATTATCTACTCGAGTCAGAGGAATGGTAGGCTGACCTGCTAGCCTCCCTGGTGGGCCTACAATAGGATAAATACTGTATATATTGTCATAAAAAGTGCCAGAAATATCATTGTTCATTATCTAGAATCCCAGATCCTTTGTTATTTGTGATATTTCTACCTTCTCCATAATCACTGGCACATATACCCATTAACACAAACTACAATCAAGCATTGTGTACACTATGTATTGTCTAACTTACATATCTATATATATATACTTATCATAGGTTTTATTTCACTAAACATTTGACCTTCATTAAAACAAGAATGTCAGTAAAGCTGATAATATTCCCCAAAAACAACTGCACTGGACTCAAAATTTCAAGAAAGGGCAATAATTTGGTATTTAAGGGATTCCGGCCATGCAATTTATATACTGAAAGTTCACTTAGTATGACCAATGTTTACATTAAGTTTCATGATCCGAGTTAAAATGAAAGCAAACTTATGCTCCGGACACAAAATTTTAATGCAGGGCAAAATAACTCTGTAAATGAGGGGTTGTGGGCCCTGACTTTGGTTAGCTGCACATCCTCTTTTATAACAAATGTATACACCAACTTTCATGATTCTTGCTTAACTGACTAGTGGACGAAACACAACGGGACGAATGGAAAGACTGACTGACAAAGTGCCCTGAAAATTTTTGGTGAGCATAAAAAGCAACATTTTAAATTGACAAATATCATATTAGAGTTAAGATTTATTTTTATAAAAAAAACTGAAATATAGAAGAATCTTTATAACTGGTATTTTGAGGAAATTTTCATGTTCAAAGAACACCAGGCCTTGTATAATTAAGTATACATTTCTATGTAAAATACATTGTTCCATCTCAATGCAGTAGCATTTGAACTTATCCTTAGAGGTCAAGACATAAAGTCAACAAAATTAATTATAGTAATGTATCTATGGATATAAAAGACCATTATTTGCGAAGTATGTACATGATAAAAAGAAACAGCAGTACTGAAACAGACACATCAAAAAAATTCTGTATAAAAAATTAATGCCCATAAATTTCTCTTTACCAAAATGAAATTAATTACTAGCAGATCAATTAAAAATTCAAAATGAGATAGATGCAGTACTATTTCATTTATATATTGCACAAAAAGTTATGTGAATGTTTTCCTCAAAGTAAAATAAGACAATTTTCATTAGTTCTTTGTATTTGCCTGACCTAGTTGTTCTGTTGCTGTATAGAAATCTGTGCACTGTCACATGTAAAGCTCACAGTATTGATGTTGTCATGACGATGAAATGATACTGACCAGAATTCACAATATCACTTTAATGATGATACAATTACAGAGACCATGGCAAGTGATTTATATGTTTCATAGTTAAATATTTTCTTATCCAAGTTAAAGACATTTTGTTTTGGACTGAAAACAGAAAAATGTAGCTAAATTTATTTCTAAATAATTTCCAAAGTTTTGTGCATCCATTTATGTGTATGGAGTAATTAAGTTATTCTGTTGTTAAAGTACTGGTAGTTTTTTTGCTATTTTTGTTTTTTTCCTGTGTTTATTGCCCCCTGAACATTTTGAGGTGGGGTCTTCTTGTAGCAGCTGGTGGCTACCTCAATGAATAACATACAGGAGGGCCATCATATGCGATCCAGAGCCACAAATGCATTAATCATCTTTCCCTCAGACACAACAACAGCACAGATCAGTCTGTTTCTCAGCTTTCTGAGAAATACAAACCATCACACATATTAAACGTTACAATTTCACACCTTTGGTCTTCACTAGTGCCTGTATGGACCAACGCCCTATCATGTGAGCTATCAGTTACCTGGTGACAAAAATACTTGTTGTCCAGGCATTCAAATTTCAAAATCTGTTCCAGAAACTACTAAATTATTATGCATCTGAGTCGAAGAATAAGAGAAATGGCTACTGGTGTAAAACAGATTTAAAAACATTGAGCTTAAACAGGTCCGTGTAGAATTTCCCAACGCAAATTAAAATCTAAGAACATCTGATTAAACCTTACATACAAACTTGAATCAAATAAATATGACATAAAGGTACTAAAGGAAGTTACAAATAATTGCATTTGATTATTTTTCAAATAAAACACCAAATAGTCCTCAGAGATATGGCTTGGCTTGTCCTAAACAAAGTATTTCTACCCACACTGATGAATAATTCATAGCGCCAACAAATGGCCTCAAGGGTACATAATGTACAACTTTACCGTATCATGTAAAAGTATGGTGGATAACGGACAGATTTGATGTTATTTAGTTAAATCATCAATCCAGAATTATGTCAATTATGTTGAACGCAGATGGTGTGTTTACAATGGCTGTTGTACAGAATTTGTATCCATTACCGAGGAACACTACAATATGTCAGTGCAACAGGAGAGTTCTGTTTGTTTAGTAACCATAAATAATTTATAAAAATACACAAGGACCACACTTTTTTCAACATTCAAAATGGGAACATATTGAATAGAAATTTACATTTGTTTTGTTTGACCATTACACAGAACCCTGATAGAATGTTTGGTCACCCGATCTGAAGGGGGATTGAGGCACCAAATGGGGGAACTTATTTTTGTTTCTGGTCAGATAATTTAGACACTGCATTATACATATATATTTTTGTATTTTGTTAATTAAAATTTTGTGGTGGTAAAGGGGGAGGAGAATCAGCATTCATTAATCAGAGTACAGATGATTATCTATAAAAACCTACAAAATCTAAAAACTGGTAAAAAATATTGATTTTACAGTGTAAATACATTATAGGAATTAATTGAAATTAGTTGTTCACACAAAAACAGAAATCCAGAATAATCATATCATTTTCTGAGAGGGTTAACTTGAAAATGACAAACATATTCTGGAACATTAGGGTTTAATTAAACTGATATCGCCTTACCCTTTTAGTAAGCTGCGTGTCCATCATAAAATTATGAACATGTTTTTCTGCTCGGCTCAGTTCCAGCTTCCTGGCCATAACAGCTACCACTAAAGCTGTGCACCCTGCACCCTGACAACCAAACAAATGTCAAGGATTATAACACTACATTAAGACAAAAAGATGACACTTGAGTTCATATTCTACAAAATGTAAATTCTCTAAATCTGAGATATCTCATTGAATATGATATAACTTCAAAAACAAAAGGCAAAGGATTTTTGCAAATTCATAATTATATCCTATAAAAACTATCAATATCATTGTCTTTGCTAAAAATTAGAACGACTAAAATACATGTTTAACACTTTGTATTCAGATATGATCTGATATTGATACAAAGCACTAAATGTTTAATAGTGCTAACACTTTGATAACTGCATTATATATGGAAATGGGACCTGAAGATGATGATACTAATGTATTCCTTAGGTTGCATGTGTATTACAGTTAATGACGCAAGGAATCAGACGATACGCAAGCCCTGCATGAATCTGATTACAGTCCATCAATGCTCTTACATATACACCAGCGTTCAGGGATATTCGTGTGGTCTACTGGCGCTCTCTGACATAACACACTTTAATCCGATTCCTTTACATTATTGACCGAAGCACTGAAGACATACCAGTGTCTCCTTGTATGTGATCAGGTGAATTCTACACAGCAATGCATACACTAGATGATAATAGTGCAATACATTGAGTCTTAGACAATCCAAACTGGAACTCCTATCATTTTGTCTATATTGGCCTTAAGTAAGCAAGAAATGGCCATTTTGTTGTGTCTTGCCATACCACACATTCTCATCTTAAATGTCGCCATAGTTACAGATAAATGGTCCATATTGTAAATACAGTCATACACATTCATATCTGTCTCTCTCTGTTGCTATAGATAAAAGGCACATTACGCCATACCTAAACGCTCTATCTAAACAGTTGTTACAGATGATAGGCCCATTATCAAAATAGTTAAAACTGTTGCTATGGAAAAAATGCCTATTTAGGCCTTATCAAAATATCTTATAAACATGTATAAACTGTTTCTATGGAAAAAAGGCCCTTATCAAAATAGCTTATGCACTGTTGCTATGGATAAAACTTGCATTAAGACTATATATCAAAATAGATTATATCAACTGTTGCTATGGATAAAAGTCCTATTCAAACCATATCAAAAGAGTTTATCTAAACTGTTGCTATGGTTACAGGCTAAATTTAGGCCATATCAAAAAAACAGTTTATCTAAATAGTTGCTGTGGATAAAGGGCCAATTATGCTCTATCAAATAGTTTATAAAACTGTTGCTATGGACAAAGGACCAATTATTTCTTATCAAAACAGTTGATCTTAACTGTTGCTATGGATAAAAAAAGGTCATTTCAAAATACTTTATCAAAGAAAGAAAAAAATATAAGATAAATAGCTACATGAAGTCAATATTCACACATGTTCATCTTTAACTGTCACTGGCAGCATACATGACCCACTAACTGCCACATACATAAGGTAAAAATGCTGTCTCTAAGTGTCACTGTAACAGCTGCTTTTGGCCCATTTTACTCAAATTATTTTAGTATCCATAGTAACACTTACCATTACTCCTGTCGCTATAGCTATGGCCCGGCCACAATATGTGTTTGGTACAATATCCCCGTAGCCCACGGACAGGAAGGTGATCGAAATCAGCCACATTGAGTTAAGGATATTTTGGTGATTTTCGTCATGGTAACTGGAATATACAATAAAACACAATTTGTAATTTAAGAAAATGAACGGTTGCATACATGTAAATGCTGTACATTGATGTATACAAGTAAATGCTGGCTTCCTTATGATGTATATCTTACCCTCAAGAAAGACTGATGATGACTAATTGGTATACAAATACACTGTATTTTCAACCTCAAAAAAGATTGAATGTCGACAAATGGTATTCTATAATTTTTTTACTTCTAAAAAACTTTATATTCACCTCTGGAAAGTGTGAATTTTAAATTAAATTGGTATACAATGTACTTTCACCTCCAGAAAGTATATTTAACTTTTGATGCGAAATATATCATCAATCATATGGTATTGTTTTTAAATTGATTTGAAAGTTGACTGGTACAGATGTCCAATCAATGCAAAAAACATCATGACCCATCCTTTCACTGAAACAGGGGAAAATTTGCACTTGCGGAGGCTATTCCACTTTAAATTAATTTAAATGATGATTTCTTTATACTTATTGACATTTCAACACAGCCTTGGGCTTTAAACGTGATTATACCAGATTTTAATCAACAAATCTGAGTTTAAACCATAAAATTAAATTTTCACTCATTAAAATCAATTGAAGCGGTTGCATGTTGTGGGTGAAAGGGGTGAAAGCTCTTTCCATCAAAAACGCCTTGGAAAACAATTTGAAGTGGGCAATGAATATTAAAGTTCTCTTGTCCTTCGCATAAAGCAAGTAGTTGTTTATTAAGTTATATATGCCCCATTTTCTAAAAATCATTTCCGCTGACTTGCCAAATACATGTTAAGAAAAGATTGTGGATTTTGTACCCCTAGAATAACTTAACACATACTTAACTCCAATCAAATGAAAGTTTTTGTACTTAAACTACATATATTATGCAAATTGGAAACATTACAAATATCTGAATTTGACTGTACTGTGCCGTATATCAGGCAACCTGCCTTTCCAAGAAATAAACATCAATGTTTCATGTTTAAAATCATTTTATCCAATTTTTTTGTCATGAGTATAAAGTATCATCATCTCTTCAAATATATGTTGCTGTAATCTAGGTTAAGTGGCTTTCAATTCTGTCAGTCGCAGGGACATAAGATTTGGATGATGTACCCATGAGACTAAGAATGAAGAGGCATTTAAAAGAATTGATGAGAATGACTGTAAATTTGTCTTTACGAGTATGAGAAAAGCAAGACTTTACCTACTTCTCATGTGGGAAATTACTTCCGAATTTTATATTAACTGTTCACTAGATCGCAATAACATCGCATCATTAAATTTAAAGATGTATGTACTAATGTCCTCTGACATCAGTCAGAAATTGTCATACAGGGCGATTTCATGAGTACCCCTCAACCAATGAATTCTTTGTATAAAAAGTACCAGAATTAGAGGATTATCACAAAAACAAGTGACCAGATTTATTTATTTTTTTTTTAAAGAAGAAAGAGAAAATCAGTTCTTACTCGTCAAAAAAGGGTCAGGGTGATTGCCTTTTAAAAATCTCCAACCCGACTGTTCACCTCAGCCCTAAGTGAGACAGCCTGCCCTTTATACTTGTACATATATACTGCTGTCTATGTAGTGGATGCAGAGATTAATTCCAACAAAATTCAATAAAAATTCATACTAAAGAAGGGAAGGCTAGTGTAAACAACAGGTAATCATCTTCTTATCCTTCACACAAACTATATGCACTCTTTGAATCAGGTATACTGATAGATTCTCAATTTAGTAAAAATCCCTTCAGCTATTTTAGACAACTAATTTTTGAAGGAAAGCTATATCATTAACTCTAACCAGTCATTAAATGCGACTATAGATCTGTTGGCATTCAGCCAACCCAGCTAATAAAATGTTACCCAATCAAACTCTACAAGGCTGAGATAAGAATAATCATAATAAATTGATTGCTGATAATTTCAAGACAGGACCAAAATTGTATTTTTGAAGCATTTATAACTGACACAGTTACAGCTAGATCATGGCAATAAAATTTTAGATATAAATTTTATATTGTACTGAAATTTGTAAAATTTTATTTCTTTCTTATTTTCAAATTTAATTTAGGATTTTATATCATACCAAGATAGTATTATCATGTTCAAACACTATTACAGTCAAACCTGTCTTAAACGCCACCTCTATACAAAGACCACCTGTCTGAAAAGACCATTTTTATGGTTCTCTATGTTATGCAATTTATAGTAAGTTAACCTCTATATAAAGGAAACCCGTCTAAAAAGGCTTTGCATTGCTTCTCTATGAAATGCAATTCATATTAATTGAACCTCTACATAAAGTTTTCCTTTTTATAAAGATCACTTTTCTGTGCTCCATTGAGTGGCTTCTATAGACAAGTTTAAATGGGGTTTTTTCCCAAATTAATTCATTTTAGAGCATAAGGATTAAATCATTGATATAATAAATAGGAAAGAGTTAAAATGATAGCTTTTCAACTGGAATTTCACTTGACCCTAAAGCCCTGCTTAATTTGACAAACCAATAAATGAAATGCTAATTGTTGCAATGTTATTATTATACCCCTATCCCTTAATTTTGACCTGGAATTTTTGTGTGTTAGCCCCCTGGGTGGGTATTACTGGGTAGAGAGCCAGGGGTTATCTATAATGTACGTTATAGTTAATAGTATGTGAGAATAAGCTGAAGGACAATTAATGCTGGTCACCTCAAAATCATTATTAATTCTTCAGGTCTCGATTTTATGAAGAGCCATCACATGAAAAGGCAAGGCTGTTTAACAAGCTCCGATAAATAACTGAATTGGGTGATCTGAATACAAAGAAAAAAAGAAAAAAGTCCTGAGATCACACCAAATCATTCAAACTTTCACCAGCCATTTCAGAGAAGTAGACTTTTGAAAGAGCTAAGACATCAAGATATGGAAAATTCAGCAGGGCATGTAATTCAAGCCCTTCGGGTCACCTAAGTGACCCTGAGAATGAATAGGGCATAAAATAAATAATGGAATCTGTTTATCATCAGAAGATAAAGGATCAATCAAAACTCCATTTTCATCCAAGACTTATCATAATTATCCATCCAACTAGACCATGTCCACTGGGTAAACCAACAGAGTGATTTTCATCATAAATGCATCACTCTCTGCCTCCAGAAAGGACCAAGGCCTTTGAGTTTCATTTAGAGGCTAGGAAACCTGATCATCTACCAAAGTGAGGCTTGAGGCATGATGTAACTAGAAAAGATTCACTTACACTAATTGTACTTGTGTATTGCACCAGGTGATGTGATACCAGTAACACTATCTGTTTTGTTGATTCAGGCATTTTTCTGTCATATCTTTTGCCTTGAAGCCGATATATATATAGTACATGCCTTTTTAAAATGTTTTTTTCATTTTATTCTGAAGCTGGGCGATCACCAATGAATCTAAAATAAATATACATGTGTTCGCTATCATAAAATTAATATTTAGTCTGAATTAAGTCATTGAAATGGTAAAAATCTCTGGTATTGTTTTTGTAACAATTTCTAATTCATTAATTTATTTCAGAATGAAAACAATTGGAACAAACAGAAGTATGAATTATTTTAAAGGCTGAACTGGGAAACTACCTTTCAATACTAAATGAACATGTTAAAATCTACGATTTTAAGTGACCAAGGGAGATAATTTTCAATGTTTATTTCCTCACAGATTTCTACATTTCTTACTCAAACAAACCACAGATTGTTCTCATAAATTTTAGAACAGGTAAACTATCTAGTGTTAATGAGTTTTAAATAAAAAATGTTTCCAAACTTCTATTAACATACATGTGTGTCCTTAATTCACAAAAGTCAATGACCCAAATCTTTATAATGAACAAATGTTGCCAGAACGGTATCTGTGTCTATTGTTATATTGATCAGAGGTCACAATAACGTTGAAGAGCTCTCTCACCATGGGAGACTTGACAGAACCCTCTCAGCCACTTGTTTAAGGTCAATCTAACGGTGGTAGTCTACTATTGTTCAGGGATACATAGGTAAATAGGAATTGGTATAACTACGGGAGTGGCACGTTTTGTCAACAGGCTGTTATACAAATTTAATATTCATTTGTTTCTGACACACACATTCATATAAAAAATGGACCTGACCAATAATTTTGCTACAAATATGTGACAAGATTGGGTTTTATACCTTGGTAGCTGGATGTTATAACATGAATAAAACACTCTAATACTAATCAACTCAAAATGTCTCTTAATTTTAATATCCGTGAGCAATATACATGTATAGAAACAAATACTAAAAACGTGACCAGACAAAGACGAATCAAAGAAAAGTAAAAAATATACAACTTTCTAATCTATAATTAGGGCACATTTTTTTTCAAAAAATCCTTAATTTTAGGAAAACCTATAAAATAAGAATCCTTATTTGTGATATTGCTGACTTTGCTGACTTTAAAGGAAATGCGGGCACAAAAACATTAATGTTCCTTGTCTAGGAGGGCTTATTCAGCCCCCTCCCCCTTGTCGCCAAGTGTTACTTATTGACATATAATCAATAACCAACACAAACTGGGTGTCACCCCTATGGACAAGCTGTGGACACATTGGCCTAAAGTCTGTTTCTTTAAATTGTGTTATACTTCCATCCTATACATTCTGTCAAGTAGACTTTTCACCGCGCTTTCATTACGGTCCAATCAAATTTACAGATTTGTTTAGATCTCGATCCTTTGAATGAATATTTTACCTCATAGAATAGAATGCCTATACAATATTCAGGCCGTAGAAACTGGCTTTGTGTGTTACAGCGATTCTTTGAGCACAGAAAATTGCATTTAGTGATCCCTTTGGAGATCTATAATGGAAAATCCAAACGTTTCATCCCTGGAGTTGGTATTACTAGTGACAACATAGCTGCTAGATCTGGATAGCACACGGAGAGTGGACCATTATACTGTGACAATAAGTGGCTATATCTTCTGAAACATGGTGATCTACATACTGCTGGAAAAATTAGCTTCAGATTAGTGAATTTATTTGACCATGTGACAGCATGGTATTTCTGAGGAAGTAAGATAAGTGGAATAGCCTAAATTAAGTACTAAGTTGGAGAGGAATGAACTGACTGGAACAGCAGGATTATGTTATATGGATGGGGAATTAACATTACAAGAATATCAAATATATTATTTAGGTAGGGGTTAGCAATATAACTGGAAAAGCCACAAAATAAGTCACTGATGGGGAAGCAGAGATGTCATAATTTAAAGCCAGACAAGTTTTCAGTGGGTGGGGGAGGATGTTTAAAAAATAACTTGACTAGAACAGTCAAAAACTGAGATATTGATGGGAAAGTGAGAAAATTGGAATAGCCTGGCCAGCACTTGAGTCAGTGGGGACCACACAAAAGCCTTAAATTTCCCTTTGATTTCAAAACAAACACATAGGACCTTAGGTTGTTCATAGGATCTTAGGTTGTTCTTAGGATGTTCATAGGACCTAAGGTTGTTCATAGGACCTTAGGTTGTTCATAGGACCTTAGGCTGTTCATAGGATCTTAGGTTGTTCATAGGACCTTAGGTTGTTCATAGGACCTAAGGTTGTTCATCGGACCTTAGGTTGTTCATAGGACCTAAGGTTGTTCATAGGACCTTAGGTTGTTCATAGGACCTAAGAATGTTCATAGGACCTTAGGTTGTTCATAGGACCTTAGGTTGTTCATAGGGCCTAAGGTTGTTCATCGGACCTTAGGTTGTTCATAGGACCTAAGGTTGTTCATAGGATCTTAGGTTGTTCATAGGACCTTAGGCTGTTCATAGGACCTAAGGTTGTTCATAGAATCCTATTTTAAACATCTTGTCTGACTTCAAGATACCTTTACAAAGCTTTTTCCTAGACACAAAGACCCTGGCAGTAGACAAAGAGAAACTATACTAAGGGTAGCAAGTGGTGTGGGTAAGATAAATGATTATAGATTTTGAGATTTCACATAGATAGTATTTATATATACATATAGATATATAGGGCTATCAATTGTGAAAGTGACATGGGTACCCAAGAAATGTAAATGGTTATCAATTCTAAAGACAGATACTGACACCTTAGAAACATACATGGCAGCTATCAATTTCGAAGGTGACGTAGTTACACTAATATAAATGGATATTAATTTCAAAGTTGATATGGGAACCCTAGAAATAAAAACAGTTATCAGTTTCATCAGGTTATAATCAATAGTTGGGTCATAGGGATGACAACAGCTTGTCTGTTGTCTTTGCATGGTTACAGAAGTACACACTGTGTAGTATGTTTGCTTGGTTACTTATTGATGGTGATGAGCATTGTTCTTTTAAATAATGAGATCACAGTTTGAGTCGATAAGGTGAAATCCCCCCAAGGATATAGAAATTTATTTAAGGCAAGAAAACGCATGAAATTCTTAATTAGTTAGCAACAGACACTAGTTCACCAGTACTTGTTTGTCTGATAATTCCAATTTGGGTGTTGGATGAATGTATAATTCAGATACAGAATGAAAATTAGTTTCATCATTCACTCTGGTGGTAAAATGTCATTCTATTGTATATATCTGACTCAAATAAAATTCTAGCAACAGTTGAATAGTTACATCCCCAAAACCCAAACAAAAAGACCAACAAGAAATAAAAAACATTGATCGGGATGTTGGTTTTGAAGTAGAAAATGAATATTATTAATGAAAACATTTAAGTATTTATATCAGATATGATTGAACAAAGAAATAACACAAATAGTTGGTTCTTATTTTCTTCAATCTTAATTCTTATGATTATTCTAATGACTAAATCAACATATGTATGATTATATTTGGAGCTTTTGGAAGGATGCGTCAAGTTTCTCTGTGTATCAGAGAAAGCCAAGGCACAGTACTTAAAGGTCATGTCACTTTGGAAGCTTGGGATGATGATGCACTTCAGTTTCATGATGGCAACTGTTAATAATGTCTGTGTTATGGCAGAGCCATATTAAAAAGACCTTGTACAAAAAGGGTGTATTATGTCATTGTAAAGAACATGCTAGGATTCTACTTTAAATATAACCTTCATTTATTTTACAACAATTACGAAACAAGTTATTTAACTTATACTAATCACTCTTGTTGGCCTGGATTTAAGTGCCTGAGGGGGTCTCACAGTGGCAGGAAACCAGAGTACCCTGGGAAAACCCATGTGGCCGGGCAGGTGACCTCTTACCTTTTCAGGTCCATTCCGGGAATCAAACCCCGGACAACTAAGTGAAAGGCAGGTGTGTTATCACTGCGCCACCCGACCATCCAGAATTCTACTTTGTTTGAATAAATGTTAGCTAATTGGGATATTATTTTAACTACTACATCTTGTACAGATACATTTCATTTCATTTCAAAACCATTTTAAGTCTTTGAACATCATATTAGTTTTTATATAATAGCCCCATCTGTATATACTAATTCTCACATCTTTTCAAACATTACCTACAGCATATAGTTTGTTCCTTATAAGTTAAGGGAGACTAAGATTTGGACAAGGCAATGCAGCATGCTGCAGACACTGTATTCATTAGTAGTCTGTCCGGTGAATTAATCATGCCCCTTCATCCTCACTCCACTCCTGAACCTGTCTTCATGTAGCAGTATACCTAATAATTGTCTACTACATTAGAGACATCAGGAAAACTGCTGACCACCTCTTTATACACAGGATTTGGAAAAAAACTCCAACAAAGACCATCAGTCTACAAGCACCATTGCCAAAACCTCCATTTAATGACCAGCTGTTTAAAATGAACCTTGCCAAAATTTCCGCATAAAGACCACCTATCTGAAAAGGACATTGCCAAAACCTCCATCTAAAGACCAGCTATCTAAAATAATCATTGCCAAAACCTCCATCTAAAGACCAGCTGTCTAAAAAGAACATTGCCAAAACCTCCGCATAAAGACCAGCTGTCTGAAAAGGACATTGCCAAAACCTACATATAAAGACCAGCTGTCTAAAAAGAAATATTTGCAAAACCTCAAAAGATCAACTGTCTGAAAGGGACATTGCCAAAACCTTCATATAAAGACCAACTGTCTAGAATGAACATTGCTAAAACTTCCATACAAAGACCAGGTGTCTAAAATGAACATTGTCAAAACCTACATATAAAGACCAGCTGTCTAAAAAGAAATATTTGCAAAACCTCCTCAAAAGATCAGCTGTCTGAAAGGGACATTGCCAAAACCTTCATATAAAGACCAGCTGTCTAAAAAGAAATATATTTTTAAAACCTTCATATAAAATCCAGCTGTCTAAAAAGAACATTGCTAAAGCCTCCATATAAAGACCAGCTGTCTAAAATGAACACTACCAAAACCTTCATATAAAGACCAGCTGTCTAAAAAGAAATATTTGCAAAACCATCATATAAAGACCAGCTGTCTAAATAGAAATATTTCTAAAACCTCCACAAAAGATCAACTGTCTGAACGGGACATTGAAAAAACCTCATTATAAAGACTAACTGTCTAAAGAAAAAAGATATTGGCAAAACCCTAATATCAAGACCACAAAACGCTATTGATGCCTAAAATTTTAAGAAGACATGTTACCTATAAAAAAGGACGCAGCTGCTAAAACTTTGCTACAAAGGTCATCTGTGAACAAAGGACATCTTTCACTTAATATCTCTTATATTTTGGTCCCACTTTTGACATTTTAAAGGACTTTGTTAAACGACTTCTCAATGAAGACAGATTATCTTTCAAGAAAATTTTCACTGCTGAACAGACCTTACACTGTATCTGCAACCTTACCCAAGATTTCTTTGTATTTAATTGTTTTATTGGTAAAGTTACTTACCTGGTGTTATACAAGTACAAACTGGTATAAAACAAAACTAAATAAACAACCAAAATATTGAAATTGAATCAAAAAAGGTTAAACATGAGCAAAATGTTTGACAATCATCTTTTGAAGTATTTCAATACTTACTATTCACAGGAACGAAGGATCCAACTACCGATAATCCACAACGAAAGCATAAACACAAGCATGACCGTACCCGGACATATTGTCATAAGTGTCTTCAACACAAAACGTGTGTCAAAACTGATTCTGTTTAAAGCACCTATACTCCTAGATGAAGCATCTGTAAATAGTCGACTATGTAGAAGCATTACCCGTGCGATGAGATAAAGTCTTAGAAACATCGGTAGCGATAACAGAATGTCAACAGGAACCACATTTTTTAACAGTTCCGAGCCGTCATATTTCATAGTATACCACGTGAAGTGAAAGTTCCCTGGAATGGGGTGTACCACGCATACTAGAATCTCTGTCAACAGTTGGGAAAGTCTTTTCCAGGATATTGCTATTCGCCAGTCTTCAACACAGTTATCAATAGCAAAAAGCTGAAAATAGATCAACATGGTAATTAATTACTTATGAATAATTGTAAATAATTTAGATTTTAAAGCTATTATACCAACAATTTTACAATTAGCTGAAATAACAAATTTTTGATAAAAAAGACATTTTTTTCATGTTAATCTACAATACTTTTTAATATATCAATATTTTGGCCTTAACAAAATACTGATTATTGTTATATCTGTAAATACAAGATGTTTTTGTGAAAACAAAATGAATACTTCATTTTAAGATCTTGTTTGCGACAATCCTAAAGGTAAAGGTTGTATTTTTCGATGGTTCAAATTTTAAGTTAAGACGAAAATCTCCAACGAAGAGCAATGTAAATTTTTCTTGTATTATAAAAAAATTCTATGGTTATCTAAACGATTGTTTTTTTCAGGGCATGGTCATCGCAAATATATTCCAATATTGGAAAACGAAAAAAATTTAAATCCTGTCGAAAATAAAACCTTTACAGTAAGTGTTGGTATGAAACTATGTTTGGACATAGGTAAATGTCACATAAAATATTTTGAGCCTGATTAATGATTTGCTATCAATAAATTTTTGAAAAATGAATTGTTCAAAGAAAATCAAAACCATACAAACAATGATCTGTACATATTTATTCATCAAAGTGTAACACATCAGCAATATTGGTACATTTGAAATACCTAGCTTTTAAATATTGTGGTTAACAAAACATACTTACAAAAATGTCTATCAGTAATGTACTGCATTGTGTTTATTGAGTGTGTGTGTTATTTTTAGTAGTTAAACCTGTTGTAGTATCTAAATATATCTGCAAGAAAAAGTCACCCCACATAAAATCCTATACTTTTGATTTTCATGAGCAAACATCTCTATACATATACACTTGTGTTGTTAAATGTGTCGATAATGTACTTGATCTTTGATACATGGCATGTTGATTTTTAGACACTGAAATTGTACAGTAGTTCATCTTATAATTACATCTATACACATACACACTTTCTATCCTGCAGTAAGCCCAGATGGTCAGAACCCTAACCTCTAACTCAAGCCTCCACCTGAGTGATGAAACAGAACAGCATTAATACAATTTTATATATAAGGATGGGCTTATCACCAGACATGGGCTTAATGCCAGATATTTTCAGTATATATAGCCATTGGCATCTATATGTGACTATATTATACATGGCACTGACTAGAATTTTCTATAATAATCGTAAAATGCTTCTGTGATTGAGATATTTATGAACAAACAAAAAAATCTTTATATGTATGAATATATAAAATATTTATTCCAGCAGCGTCTAAATTTATCAATGGTATTTACTTCAATGATGAATTAAAAGGCTAATATATATCATTGAATGACAATGTCTTGTTTCAGTGCAACTTTCATTCACCAAATCATGAATACTAGCATTGTAATGTACTGAACTGTTCGGGTTCAAGCAGACAAAATCAATAAATGTGTGTTCTACAATTGATAATTAGTAGCTAGATGAGAAGGAAGCCTGCTCCACTTTTGAGATATACCATATGAACATGCAGTAATTAGCAGTATCTAATGCAAATTAATTCTCTAATGGCTACATGCTTTTGATGATTACATAATACCAATTTTCTAAAGGACCTTAGCATGCTACACTGATCGGGAGTTACAAGAGAGCTTTTGAACCGAGTAACACTAGGGATTTGTGAAATTGAGTTACCAGTGAGGTTTTTGACTCACTGAGTTAACTGAAGTTTTGTACAGAGCTACCAGTGAGGATATGAACTGAGTTATCAGGGAAGTTTTGAACTAATGAAGTCTTCAAAAAAAAGTCAATCTATTGAACTACAAATAAGTTACCAAGGAGTTGTCAATCAGTTATAAGGGAGTTTTTACACTGGTTTACTAGGGAGTCAATTGCTACACAGATCTAGAGTTATCAGGGAGTTGTCAGACTAGAGAAATGTCAAGACTGAGTCACTTAGAGAGCTGTAAGAGAAACTGAATTATATCTAAGTCAAACTGAATAACAAGCTGTCAGTCAAACTGACTTACAAAGGATAAGTCAACTGAGTTACCAAGTAGTTGTCAGACTGTTACCAGGGAACTCTCAAACTGAGTTACCAAGTAGTTGTCAGACTGTTACCAGGGAGATGTCAAACTGAGTTACCAAGTAGTTTTCAGACTGTTACTAGGGAGATGTCAAACTGAGTTACCAGGGAGATGTCAAACTGAGTTACCAAGTAGTTGTCCGACTGTTACCAGGGAGATGTCAAACAGTGTTATCAGGGAGTTTTATCAATTCATCTGACTTACAGAGTTTATACCTCTGAGTTCTCAGACTTATTTACGCAAATCAATAACTAGAGAGTTACCTAACTTATCAGCATTAGAGTTTCGGGAAATAATGATTTACAAGTTAGTCATTGAAGTGATTATTGAGTCACCAGAAATCAGAGAATGTCAATGAGACTACAAAGTATATTCAATTACTTGAAAAAATGTGTATTATAATATTTATTTTTCACTTACTGGTAAGTATTTAATTAAATTTTTTCTAGCAGTTTGAAGTGCACTTTTTAATACCGGATATGAATCTGACATCTGACAAATTACATGTTCAGTCCAGCAGAATCATATCTGTTGTAAAGCCGTAATTATCAGCCAATCACAATCCTTCACAGAACTCTCTGATATAGTTCTATCATGTTGTATATTTTCAAAGATGTTTGATTTTGCAATTTCATGATCCTACACAGAAACAGTAAAAAAAAATGAACCCTTACATATATGAAAATATATATCATGCTAAAATTTTCTAAAATCAATTTTAAAACCCATTCAGACTAACAAAAGTGTCATCTTCATTTTAAAAACTGCATCAGTTGTATGTAGTCATAAGAAATTGAAAAATCCTAGAAAAAACTTAATTTAATGTGAAAAGATGACATCTAAGTCTTATAATGAAAATGATATGTTTTGCTGGTGATATTTTTTGGTATGTATAATCCCATTGGTACACAAGAATGATACAGATTCAGTTGCAATTCTGTAAGTAGGATCCAGTTATCAAATTGATGAAGCATGATTTAGCCTGTTGTCCGTAAGGCAGATAGATATATGAATACTAGATTAACAGAGTGTCATTCAGTTGACGCCGACAATAACTCAAACTGATATGCAGAAATATTTCTATAATAGATCAGAGCTGCATCATAGTGGATGTGTCATTGTATCTAAATAGATTGTTAAGGGACCACTTTACTGCTCCGTTCCCGAAGGCTCAATTCTATGAGCAATCATTCTTCATACACCATATTCCACATGAAATATGAATTATTTCGTTATTCTTAACCAGATTCTGATAATGATTTTTGTATACATGTATTCACTAAACATTAAAGCTGATTAATATTCATAAACATATACCAAATTTATTTGATATTTGAGAAAAGTGAGTGACGTGAAGCCAAACAAGATGGATCCAATCAGAATGAATTCATGGTTTTACAAAACACTAAACATAGAGATTTTTAAAATGCAAGTGATCTCAAATATATATTTAGAAATTTCTACGGCTGAGAATTCAGTTAACAGAGTTTCAATTAATATGCATAAACCTGAAATGCACTGAAACAAATCTAACTGCAGAAATAAATCTGTTGAAATTAGACTAATATATGCTCGAGATTAATACATCCATTATACCTAGTGATAGTATAAGGATCATTTTTTATTGGTAATTAACGTTCAATTGCAGGATGAATGATCAGGTTTTCTGTTCACCACAGCACACTGCCGCTCTTTCCTGTAACTCGCAGATCACCACAGAGTTCTCCTGCGAGGCATTAAGACAAGGAAATGAGCCAAGCATAGAGTGAACATCGCAGGAAATAGACAAGTTAATGGGTGTATTTGTAGTTGACTATGTTAACTTTCAGGTGAAGAAAATTCTAAGGCGGATAGTGTGAAAAGGAGGCTGATCCAGATAATTTAATTTCTTGAAGTGAACATTCTTGATATATTTATCCACCAATAAGTCCATGTCTGGTAATAAGCCCACCCATCTGCATTACTTAGAATTATGGACAATAATTTGATGTCCTGCAACAAGCCCAACCCTTATGTACTGTGTCCTTGGCTATTTTGGAATTAGTTTTTTTATTATATCTGGTAATTCACCTTTGTGAATACTCAGTCTATAATGCAGGTATGTAATAGATCAAAATAATGGGTTTTGAACCAGTTTAATTGTAAAAAAAATTCCTTTCAAAACCTTGATGTATGACTTACAAGTGAATATTCTATAGCTGTCCACAAAAACTAATTTTCTTTTATTACTGGTTTTGCTCAAGTGTCATCAGGTGATAGTTGTGAAGTTCTATAATATATATCATTATTTGGCCTTTGTTGAGTGAAATGATTTGTAGGTTCTTTTTTAGCTTCAATCAAATCCTATCTTCTGGTTGAATACATGATTTATTTGGTTGACAATCTAACAGAAAGCGTATATCAAATTACTTATAATAAAATACATGCATTTCATCCTCAATGATAAATCTAATCAAGCATAAAATGATGTAAATACCAGACCTTAAACAGAAGTTGGTAGTTTGGTTGTGAATAGTGAAGGGAACCCATTGGCACGGAATGGGAAACAGGATTTGGTTTCTATGCAGATAATTTTGAATGCATCAATAAGGAAAGCTATGACATCAGCCTATGATCATCACATCTGTCAACGGAGCTCAAATTTGCGTGTGGCAGACTACATGAAAATTAATCCAAGCTCTGTAACTAACATTGATTCATGTGATTTTGCAGTAAATTAAGCTTCTGTATATTGGGTTGAGGGCTGTCGGACATATTTGATCCTGTGATTTAGAAACAAAATGAATAATTTGCTGCACAATTCAGCTATATTTCAACCATTTCACATGTTAGAATCTTCTTGTTTAAAATGTAGGGAAAGATTCATGTGTTGCTTTCATACCAAAGGACAGAAAAACTATA